CTCTTGCAACTAGCTGGCGTGGGGAGCTTTGGACAGGAACCCTGATACTGGGGCTTTCCAAAATCCACCCTTGCGAGCTCCTGCCAGCTGCTGCGGAGGGGGGGGCCGCTGGACCCGGTGCTCCAGGCATGTCCCTCTGGGCCGGGGGTTGGAAGCAACTAAGTCCTGATTTATTCCAGTGAGCTCAGCTGCTGCTGGCTGGTTGACAAAGCAGCTCCAGGCGCAGGACCGGGCCCCACAACACCACACAGGGCCCAGCGCTGACTCAGAGGAGTGGATCAGATCCCACCTGCATTACAGCCTGCGTCTCTGCCTACAAACCGCTGGGTCAGCCCAGCTCCTGTGGGACAGGGCAAAGCCCCAGATGAGGCCCGGGAGAGCGCTGTCAGCCGAGGGGATCCACCTGGGAACAAGCCCCCAGCGGAGACGAAATGAATGCAGAGTCCAGCCAACTTTCAGAAATGCTGTCACGGGATAAGAGAGAAGGTCCAATCATGGGTCAGTGTCTACTTAATCGACAGGTGTTACGATGCTGCCTTTGGTGGGACACTTCCGAGAGTATCAATTCAGGACAAATTGCTTAAAGCAGGATAGTTACAGCCCCAAGCTGGGGTTTCTCCACCTCTAAGGCAAACCAAACCAGCCAGACAGAGAGAGAGAACTTTGGTCTCACCCCACTGGCTAACCACAAGTCTCACAAGCAATTTCCTTACACACTCCAGTTTCCCAGTATCACCACCAATGCCACTTATTGTGGGAATGAATGGTTATGAAAACCAAAACCCCAGTAACAGAAAAAAGGTTCTCCCGATCCCAAAGGACCAAGCTCCAGACCCAGGTCAATATACAAATCAGATCTTACTCACAAATCACGCTGTTGCCAATCCTTTAGAATCTAAAATCTAAAGGTTTATTCGTAAAAGGAAAAAGACAGAGATGAGAGTTAAAATCGGTTACATGGAATCAAATACATACAACAATTGCAAATGGAATCAAATACATACAACAATTGTTAAGGCTTGATGGGATTACTGTTGATTTAAACCAATCAAGCCTCTGGAGTACATCCACAGCTGGGATGGGTCATTCAGTCCTTTGTTCAGAGCTTCTGTTTGCAGCAAGGTTCTTCCAGAGGTCAGAAGCAGGACTAAAGACAAGATGGAGGAGATGCAGCAGCCTTTGATAGTCTCTTGCCATGTGGCCTCTGCTTTCTTTGTCCCCAAGACAAGCTGTCCAGCACATGGCACAGAAAAACCTTAGAGTTCTGTCCATAGGCATGTCCCTGCACGCCTTGCTGAGTCATAAGGTGTATCTACCTTCTCTCAATGGGTCAGCTGTATAGCTGATGGTCCTTAATGGGCCATCCAGCATGCTAGACAGTGCTGATGCCACATTGTCTGGGGTGTCACCCAGAAGCATAGCACAAGTTTGAACTACAGACTGTATAGAGACAATACTTATAACTTTAAATACAAAAATGATACTTGCATACAGATAGCATAAACATAACCAGCAAATCATAACCTCCTCATAGACACCTTACTTGACCTCCTTTGTACAAGATTTGGTGCCACTATAGTGGCAACAATGGTCTATACTGTCACAGTTGGTGTCAATAATGTCACAGACCTCCTGAGGTCTCTTCCAACCCTAATATTCTATTATCCTAAGTGATTCATCCCCTGCCGCCCATTCTCAGCTTCTGGCAAACAGAGGTTAGGGACACCATCCCTGTCCATCCTGGCTAATAGCCATTGATGGACCTATCCTCCATGAACTTATCTAGTTCTTATTTTAACTTATATAGTTCTTTTTTATCATGTTTGTGGTTAATGTTATTTGTACTTAATGCGTACTACTAGTATATATATGGTGCAGAAAATACAGATTATGAATGTGATATATATCTATATGCTATCCAGCATATATTAAGCAACAGGGACAAAGGTGATAGCAAAGTAGAGCAAGACTTTTTTCCTGAGTATTTTATACACACACAGAGAGAGAGAGAGAGAGAGAGAGAGAGAGAGAGAGAGAGGAGA